TTTCTCCACTACGCCACACTGAGTATCAGCTTGCTAGGTATACATTACCAAATCTACACCTTCCCAAGGTGGTGCAATGGGACAGTGACAAAACTGCAACTGCATTTCAATTTTACTAAATTTCTTTAAATCTCACCTGCATTTTCTTTATTCTGAAATTTTGAAGTTTCTTTTCACACTAAAATTTATGTGCACCGTTAATGCAGTTTGCCCGGCAGAGGCATGCATTGGTCCGGTTTATCTAATTTAAGTATATTTAAGTCTATTTTTGTGACATTTTCAGTTCTGTGGATTTAAGTATTTGCATTTTGAAATAAGCATAATTTTCACATACTGTTATTACGAAGAGAGAGCCTGTGGTCTTATGTGAGCCGTCCTCCAGCCCAGTTAACAGAAGAGCAAGAGGAAGAGCATGAGAGAGCTCTGAGTACTATTATTTTGTTTCCTTTTCCAAGCCTTTTTTTCACTCTCAACCAAAATTTAAAACATACAATTTTGTCTGGTAACAGTAGTTTGAATACTCAAATGTGCTAACCATATCTTAAAAGCATGACTTTTGAATTTCAGCTGTCTTACAAGTGATGGAAGAAGATACAGTGTCCCAAATGCAGGGTGGTTTAGTGGTGGGTGGGAGTGCACATACACGCTCGTTCCTTTAGCCCTCGAAAGTCGGTCTCGCCGTCCTGGTTCTTCCAAGGACACAGACCAGTACTGGTCCGTGACCTGGGGGTTGGGGACCCCTGTTTTAAGTGAAAAAGCTAAAGCAATGTGAAGTGTTAGCTTTTATTGAAAAGCTAAGAGACAGACCCAGCGCAGCACAGGTAGGGAACCCTTTTCCTGTCTTCTCTCCATTCCAAGACTTGATCGCTCTGTCTCCTTATATATATGGAGGCATCTTCCTCTCCCTTCACCTACTGCAGGACTCTTTTTCTCTCCTTGCTCACCTAGACATTCACCAAGCCGACTAGTCCAAAAATAAGGGTGGCAGTGCCTTTACTAACTGGCTAGAAAGTTGAATGGGTTAGGTATCTGGCTGTGGAGCAAAAGCAAAAGTGTGCACCTTATATATCGCCCCACAGTGCTTAAAGCACTCTCGGGGCGGTTTACCAGTTAATTATGTAGGCTGCACATTTCCTCCACCACTGCCTCCAGCGAGCTGAGTACGCATTTTAGCAGTCTTGGAAGGATGGAAGGCTGAGTCAACCTTGAGCCTCTAGAGTACTTTTAACATAGCAAAGTGCCTTCTGGGAGAAGAGCCAGCCTGTGTGGCCTTGGGCAACCTGCACAGTCCCAGGATGCCCCCAGAAGAAGGGAATGGCAAACTTGAATATTCTGTGCCTGGAAAACCTGGAAAAGAGTCACTATGAGTCAGAATTGATTCGATAGCACAAGAGTATTAAGATTCCCGGTGTGGTCTGGTGGATAGAGTGACAGGCTAACAATCTGGAGAACAGAGTGTAAATCCTCACTTGACCGTGGAAACTCACTGGGTTATGGAACCGGTAAAACCTTAAACAACTCACCTATCTCGAAATCCCTCTTAGGGTTGCTATACTTTGATTCTGACTTGACGACACAGAACACACTTTATTGGGCCATCATATTCACACATACATACCTAATATTTATTATTTTCCATCACAGTGCCATTTCTTTTTCCCCTGTTGCTTTTTTTTGGTCACACCCTTACTCTTTCCCCCTGTTGTTGGTCTTTCTCTCCCTCTGTCTTTTCCCTCTGTCCCTCCTGCTTCCCATTCCTTTACAATGCAATGGGACTCCTTTTTTCTTTGTACATGTATCTCCCTCTGTCCCTCTCTCCTCATTTTTGGAAAAATAAACAAAGGAAGCAGTATGCTGTCTTCCCTTCCAAGGCCTCTAGGTTCACATGGAGAGACCTGGGAGCAACTAGAGAAGAGAGCATCCCAGTCCTGACTGGTTAGTTTGGTGTTTGGTACAAGTGTGTTTGCACCAAGCCCTACAGATTTAATGGAATAGAAATTGAAAACCTTAGACCAAATGCATTACCCTATAATACAAACGAATATCTGAATTCCAAGGCTACTGGCTAGGATACAACCTTTGACATGAAGCTATTCAACAGTGAGATGATGCACCACAAATGACGTTCTGTTTGGGATTACAGCTGAATCCAGGGGTGCAGCCCATGCGTTGGATGCACAGGGCTCCTCGTGAGAGCATCTTCAGAGTTAGGTGAGGGGAAAGTCTAATTTCAGAGCCCAAGAGATGAGGTAAATCAGCAGAGAGAATGCTTACTGAGGGAGACAGACCAGCACCCTAACTTGTAATAAGGCACTTTCCTAAACAGGATCTCAAAACAAATGGAACTTTTACCTTCCTGGAAAGCAATCTGGCATATCCCCGAAGAGACAAGGTGTTTCTTTGCTGTTTCCACCACTTCAGGTCGGTCTAAAACGGTCACAGTAGTATTTGGGTAGAGTGAAATACATTGCTTGGCAAGGGCACCACTACCTCCTGAAAGAAAGAAAGAAAGAAAGAAAGAAAGAAAGAAAGAAAGAAAGAAAGAAAGAAATAAAGAAAGAAAGAAAGAAAGAAAGAAAGAAAGAAAGAAAGAAAGGAAGGAAGGAAGGATGTGGATCTGAATTCTTACAGGGTAGCAAAGAACTACTGGGTTAATGCAACACAAAAAAGAACATGGTGGAACAGTACTCTAGGGGAGAAGAGCGTGTACAGTATTACAGACTAGAGAAGCAGGACAGATTAACCATTTCTGCCCTATTATTGAAATCAATCTGTGACACCTCAAGGGGTGAAAGAATGGGAGGAAGACATGTCCAAACAGTCACTCTCCATCCTGAGCATCAAGAAGGAATTTCAGTCTAATTATAAAATTATTCTTAAATGGCTTTCATTCTCAATCTTATTATGTCACATGTGGCAAAATCTAGGTATATTCACGAACATCTTTAGAGAGAAGGAAGTTTCAAGATAACATTCCCCCTCCCATAAGCTACTGGTCTCCAGGTGATGAGCAGAAATGGAGGAAACTCTGGGTGAATTAAGGGCAGGTCCAGCCTGGATGATTTAAAGGACAGGGGCCTAATTAGTGTTAGGGTGGGAAACCCAGGGTTACCCTCAAGGCTGGGTGAGTTCTGCCTTGATAATCCCTCTACCGAGTAACCCTGTCTGACAGGGCCTCGATTTAAATGTTTTCATTTTGATAGTTCATAAACGTATGTTTCTAACTGCTGTGTGTGCTGTCCTGACTTGAAGCCCCAAAAGAAGACCACAAAATAACTGGCTGAAGCATATTGGGCTCTTTAGTGAATAAAACCCATGTTTCTACTGCTTGAGCCTTTGTCTCACCTTATTGTTGACCTTTTCCTTATCATGACGCTCAACAATTACAGTGGTGCCTTGCTTGATGAGGATAATCCATTCCAGTGAAATCGCTGTAGAACAAAATCATCGTCAAGCGAAATAAAAAAGCCCATTGAAATGTATTAAACCCCAGTTAATGCGTTCCAATGGGCAAAATGCCTCAGCGTCCAGCAAAGATCCTCCATACGGCGGCCATTTTCTGCTCCCTGTAATGCGAGGAATCCATCCTAAAGCACAGCAGGGAGCCATTTTACACAGCAGGTGGCCATTTTGAAAACCCGACGATCAGCTGTTTTGATCGTCGTAAAGTGAACGGATCATCATGAAGCGGAAAAAGCCCATAGAATCATTGTTTAGTGGTCGCAATAGCGATCGCAAAAAACTACTCGAGGTAATCGTCAAGCGGGGCACCACTGTATCTTGATCCTACCTACATCCTCAGGGATGCTTATCTTCCTTCTACTACCCCTCTGTCCTTCTTGTTGTCTTCTTCTGCATCCTTTTCTGACTGGACTAAATGTCATAGCAATATGAAAGTCAGTCAGTGTTTATCTAGTTCATTCTCCCATCCTGCAGTAATCTTCTCTCTCCCTCACACACCACTCTAGCAAAGTACAAAATCTGCTTTGTTACAACTTTTATTTTGTGATTTTCCTTCCAGCAACTTTCAAGTTTGGTTTCCTGTACAGAAAGTTAAGGGTTTTTTTGGTAAAATTTAAGAGGATTTGGAAATACACCAGAGAAGCATAAGTCGTGGTATAGGATTCAATACACCAGCAAACATTGAAAAGCTGGTACTTCCCCATCAGGCCTTCAGTTCAACCAGTCTGTATCACCAAGGAGTCAATGAAACTCTCCAACTTTTGTTTCTCAGTCTTCCCTCCTTTTTCACACATACACACAGCTTGATGACACCACCCAGAATGAGAAGCTGGAGAAGAGGAACATGCTCATTTCTCCAGTCATGGAGTTGGATGGGAACTTGGAAGGACATGCAGCCTTCTCTCCAAATCAGATAATGATATAATTTCAAACTCTAAATACAGAGCTGCAAGCGAGGAAAAAAAATTGTCTACCTACCTCCCAGATCATAAATGATGGGGAAATGGGAAAGATCAAATGCAGACAACACTTCTTGGCCATACAGACTCCAAGCATCATCCATACCACAGAAGAATCTTTGCACCTCTTCCTTTGATCTAATAGTTCAAAATTAAATAGGCAAATAAACAGAGGAGGTGCCCAAAAAAAAACAATCTGATTCTGGAAACCACGGTCATAGCTATGGACCCAAATCCACAAAGCCTATGATGCTTTTAACATCCTTTTATGTTATTACTATAGCTGAAAGGAACAGTCCAACAATCTCCAGCTGGAAACTGCATGGCTGTCACCCTTTCTGTGCATGGAGCCATGTAATCTCTGAAGCTGACACCACTGTAAGAGTACAATTTTCCCGGGATATGCAGCATATCGCTGCAAATGTTGCTAACCCCAGTCCCTGTATCCGTGGGGTTGTTGGAAGGAGCCTGGTAACAAAGTAGTGTCATTTCTGGAGTCCAAGCATGTATAGGCAGGCAGACCGAGTAACTCCATACTACATTTCCAAATAAATTTGGTGCATATGATTAGGTGTAGTCTGCACATAAACCAAGACCACTGTTTGAATCTTGGTTTGTTTTAATAACTCAAGAACTGACATCACCCATGTGCTCCCAAACATGCTTTTACTCCTATTTTTTGCTTACACTATTGCAGTCCAGGTTAATATACAATGTGTTCTAAGGTATAAAAGAGACTCCAACTCCCACACGAATAAGACTTCCTTGTTTTAATCAAGCTCTCATCTGCATATACAATATAATGTTCAGATAGATTTGTTTTCACTGCTGGTTAAATCCTGATCTCTAAGGTATGGCAGATTGGAATTTGACATACAGTATGTGCTCCCAAACACTCTTTTGATCCTATTTTTACCTTACTTCAGAGGCCCTAAATAAAAAGTTCTGCACATTATTGCCATCAGGTAACTGCCCCTCAATGCCATGAAGAATAATTTGGGAAGGGAGAGTATACTGCTAGACATGGAAAACGCTGTACAGTATGTGTGAATAGTACCCAGATGTTTCATAAAACAAGACAAGGTTTATTTCACTCTACAAGAAATATCCACATTGTTATCATTCTCTTAAAAAGAAGAAACAATACAACTTTTACCTGGAAAATGCCTGATAGCAATCATCCAGCGATGGGCCATGTATTGATTCCATCTGTTTTTTTCCTTCCCTGGAGGAAAATTAATTAAATCAAAATAATGCAGCTAAGTACCACATGCAATGTCAGGTTCTTCTTGTTGGGATAATAGAAATCTTCCATGCATTGAGGCTGGATATCAACGGGACGGGGGCTTTTCCAGTCTAATATGATTGCCCTTTGCCATTAATTTGATTGGTGAAGTTCTTTTCCCACTTCCGGCATTTGTGTCAAGCCCCTCCCCCTCTTCCTGTTTGTTTCCTTGCTTCCGTTGTTTTTATTGTTGATTACTCTTCTTCTTTCTCTGACCTCTTACCAAGCAGCAAACATGGAGGTCTCCTCAAGTGTTTGAGACTGCATTTCCTTCTTTTTTTTATCCTTTAACTTTAAATGGGCTACCACTCTGAGACTTGAAAACTCACAAAATAAGAATGGAAGCAACCTTCCCTCTGCTGCTGTTGCTTCACTCTCTCTTCCAAGCCTTCCCTGAAGGACCTGGAAAGCACCAGAATATGCAAATGTTACCAAGTGCAGTGATCGGCTGAGAACATCTCAAGGGCCTCCCATTTCAGATGCAGATATGTACCTCCTGATTGGCTTTTGAGGAACTGCTAAGTGCCACATACGCAAAATTCATCAGATCAGTCATGTTGGACATTCTGATTGATTGTTCCTGTTAGTGCCTTTGCATAATTACATTGGAAGTTAAGAGGGAAGACACAGAAAGCTCACAAGAGAGCTCTCAAACAGCAGCCAAGAAGGCCTACAAAACTATTTCCAGCATCAAGAGAGGTAGAGAGGGGTAAAGAGACAACAAACGAATGGTGTACAACCAAAGCTGTCTGTCCTTTTTGGAAGAGGCAACAGAATTTGTTGGCAGTCCACTGCTCCCCTTGCATTGATCTCCTATCTAGTTCCCTCTGGGGTATGGAGTCCATCAATCCTACACCTATGTCATGGTTTTGCTTGTCTGTGTTCAATATCCCTTACCTCACAGCATCAGTGAAGTACTGGAAACTTGCATACCCATATTCAGAAAGGAGTTTCATGTAATAATATTGGGACTTGGGGCTTGACTTTGCAAGGTAGAGACTGGCAAGATTTGTATTTCTGTAAAGACCTTAAAATAAAGAAGAGGAGGGAGTTGTTACATAAAATCATGAAAGAAGTAAGCTAAGTTTGTTATTCAACGAACCTTTTTCAACCCAGCAATTCTTTGGAAACAATTTAAAGTCATATTTTATGTCTGAGCTCAAAACATTTTTCTCTGAGCATACTGCATTTTTGTTTTTAAGAAAGTTTAGACCTTTTCTGAGTTTAGGCCTTTGCTGGCTGTATATGAATCCCTGAAACATTCCCCATATATGCATGTTTCTTCCTGCTCAAACTACGGAACAGCAGCTTATAACTAATCACATTTATTCAGGTGCAAGTACAACGGAATTCACAGAGCAATGATTCCCAACCTTGAATGTCCCAGAATTTTTTTGGACTGATTCTCCCACAAATCCTGGCCAGCGCAGATGGTAGTAAAGACTTTAACAACAACACCTTGAACATAACACACAGTAGTAATAATAGAACAAAGAAATGTCCAGTTCATTGACATTGCAATTCCAGGGGATGCCAGAATTGAAAATAAAGAATTGGAAAAACTAACAAAGTACAGAGACCTGGCAATTGAAACATCTTGCCTCTGGAAGAAACGCACTTCAGTGGTCCCTGTAGTCATTGGGGCTTTGGGAACAGTATCAAGAAATTTCACAGAGGAGTATAAGCAGTTGCAGATTTCAGAAATCAGACCATCAGGGCTACAAAAGCAGCAGTATTCGGAACAGCATACATACTGCACTGATATTTTACAGATACTTAGGTTTTTGGTTAAAACTTGCATCTGTTATATAATACTAGTCAATGTTTTTATAATTTTGACTGGACCTATCCAGTATTTCTGAAAAATAATAATAACAATGTGCTCTCAAGTCAATTCTGACTTATGGTGAACCTTTCAAGGGTTTTCCAGGTAGAGACTATTTAGGTTTACCATTCCCTTCTTTTAGAGGTACCTGGGAGTGTGTATTTTACCCAAGACCACGCAGGCTGGCTCTTCTCATAGAAGGCACAGTGGAGAACCGAACTCTCAACCTGTGTCTCTGCAGGCAGATACCTAAAACAGTGGTAATTATTGTCTGGCTGGCCAGACACTGTAGACTCGAACTACTGGAATCCATCACAATTGGCCAAACTATCTAGGGCTTCTGCAAGATGAAGTCCAAAAGGTCTGGAATAGAGATGGGGACAAATAAAAAAATATTGCAATATTCATGAAAATAGCTTATCTGTTAAATATTCGTCCCTTCATATCATCAGTTCCAGAGACCCTGACGAATATGAAAGGATGAATATTTCCCCATTTTTATTTGCCTCCCTATGGTTTTCCCATTCTGCCTGTGGGCCCACTGATCAACTGATTGGCAGTCCGATAGGCAGTCAGCCAACCCCACAGCCTCGGCAGCCACGGCCTGCCGTAAGGGACACTGGCTGCCCTTTGCAAAGATGGCAGCTGCGGCTTCTCTTAAGCAGGGAAGCTGCAGCCACCATCTTTGCAAAGGGCAGTTTAGATTCCCTTAAGGCAGGCCATAGCAGCGGAGGCCATCGTAGCAAGTGGTGCTGGATAGTGACTGCGGAGTCCGCCATGGCACAGGCCTCCGTGGATGGTGGTGGCAGTGGCAGTGGCGGCACAGACTGCAGCAGTCAATGCAGGGAGGCGACAGGGGTAGTGGGAAGGGGGCAGGGGGGCAGGCTGTAGGGGTCAGCTTTTTTTAGACCCTCCCCCCAACAAACCAATGAATATATGCATGTTTCATTGGTTCATGGGGAGGATCTTCATGCTTCGTCAACTTTGACGGATCATGAAGCACGACGACTCGCTAAAATGGTGATTTGTCCCCATCTCTAATCTGGAAGATCAAAGGCTCAGAACCACTGCTCTCAAATAGTATTTGTAAGATGCAAAGCTAAGAGGCAAGGAAACTTAAAATTTATTTCATTTATACCCCACCTATCTAGTCAATTGTGACCACTTAAGGAAACTTAAGACAGGTTGTAGAGTTCAAAGCTAAAAGACAAGGAAGCTTTGAACAGGTTACAAATCTGAAAGACTGCTGTTGCTGGGATTCTAATATACAAATATATAATGATATAATCTTGTTTTAAAACAAATCACCAGACAAAATTGGCAAGACAGATGGGGATATAGATGCAATAGTAAACAAATGAAGACTAGGATACATAAATTTACGTTGAGACTTCTTTCCAGAATAGATTGAAGACTGACAGAAATAATTGCCAAGCTAAGTGCACTTTTAATAGCCATGTTGGCTGCAAGTTTCCAGCTAATGTTAATTAAATGAGAATTTTCAAATATCCCAGCTTGAATTCTCCATTTCATGTAGTTACCTTCACTGTCCTTTCTCTCCATCCTCAGGAGCTTTAAACCCGCACAGGCCTCCAGCAGCCTCTCCGTTCCACTGGGGCTGGTGCCGAGGCGTTCGGCAATGGCCCCTGAGCTCAGGGGTTCTCCCGACTCCAAGAGCAGATCAAATACTCCCAGCTCAGAGGCAGTGAACACAATCTGAGGGAGAATGAGGTAAGAAAGGGCAAAAAAAGTTTACATAATATACAGGTATAAAGCTTGCTTTATTATTATGTATGTTTGTATATACCCGTTCCAAAACAGCTAGTTTCTGAAGAAATTCAACTGAGTTTTCAGTGTCTGGGTGTTCAACCTTGTCAGAACATCATGTGATGATGGGATTGCTGTCTTAATTCATGCCTGCATGTTACCCTCGCGATCTGCAGACTTGCCTGCCCTTTGAGTGCATGTTCAAGGCCGTTATCGGGAACAATAATAATCTGGTAAAAAAACAAGTCCTTGAAGAAAAGAAATGCAGAGTTGTGCAAACGGTTTGGGTGGAGATGGACACATGATGCCGCCATGGACTCCAGTGTTTCCCTGTCCCATTAGTGAATTCCCCAACTTTGGAAGACGTTAGATGGGTATTTGTCCTCCTGTTGGTGCCGTGTTTCTCGCTGTTCCTTCCCACAATTATCTCTTCAGCTAAACACATTAGAGCTAATTGTAAGCAGATCCAATTTTTAGCATGAATATTTTTGGATGTGCACCTTTGTGTTTTTGCACATCAATCCCCAGAATTCTCTGAGAATCCCCCAGACAGAGTTCTAAGAGTTGTAGGGGTTTTTTACACACACACGCTCTCTCTCTCTCTCTTTCCCTTCCTCCCTCTCCCTTTCTCTTCCACACAAAGGGGAATAACGTGCTTCAGTTTCTAAAAGTATATATACAAATATTTTATATTCTTCACCTTTAAGGGCCAGTGGAGAAACCGCCTACAGCTAAATCCATAGTGATAGCTTCAGCTGCAAGCAGTTTCTCAATTGGTACTTTAAGAGAAGTCAGACTTTAAAAAAAATTAAGAAAATAATTGGTGCAACACAATAATCTAAATACAGTCAAAAACCTTTTTCACTTCCACTTCCCCCACCCCATGAGCAGACCCCATGGTTTGTTCTCCCTCTCCGTCGTATTGCCCTGAATGATCTCCAACCAGCATTGCATTAGCTGTTTTCCCAAGACATTACAGTATATGCAACTCTGACATGAGGGAGTCACTGCTTGTGCAGTGCTGGTTTCACCGCACCCACCCACACACACACCTATGTTGTGCAATATCCATACCTAGAAACAGCCTGCTTCTTCCCCGTAAAGCTGATTTCAGAAATGGGGCACCCAAATACCATGAAAGTAAAGGGAAGAATGATGGTGTACTGTGACCAGTTTTTGGCATTTTTTAAGAACAAAGCGGAGACCATCTGTTGGGACCTAGACTCACAGACTGAACCAGTAGATCAGATTGTGATGTCCACTGCACCGCCTTGTCCTATTATATTAAGTCAATTTCAGCCTGTAGTTCCAGGTGAGATTGACAAGGTGCTTGACAGTTGCAGGTCCACCACAACTTCCCTTGATCTTTGCCCGGCCTGGCATCTAAAAACATACAGGCTGATAACTACAGAATGGGCCACATGCATCATTAGTATATCTCTATTAGAAGGTCAGGTTCCCCAAGCCCACAAGGAGAGCCTAATTTAGCCGATCTGGGGGAAAAAACAATATGGGGCTGGATGATTGTAACAGTTACAGACCCATCATCAATATTTCATTTCTAAGCAGGCTAGTGGAGAGGGTGGTGGCTGATCAATTTCAGGCACTCTTGGATGAAACCAACGGCCTCAATCCCTTCCAGTCTGGGTTCAAGTCATATCATGGCATGGAGACAGCATTGTTCACCTTGCAAGATGATATTTTGAGGGAGGCTGATAGAGGCAGTGTATCCCTATCTGTCCTCTCAGCAGCCAGATCAATGAGAGGAATGAGTAAGTACCATCACATTTCCCCAAGCTTGGCATCCTTGCATTGGTTACCAATCTGCTTCTGCATCAGCTTCAAAGTGATTCTTCTGACTTATAAACTCTGATCAGTTTGGAACCTCAGTACATGATCAAACACCACCTAGAACTGCCCATCCGATTCACAGTGACTCTTCGCTGGTGGGTCGACTGAGGACGCTGACCCAGAGGGAGGCCCAGAGGAAATAAAAAGGAACCAGGCCTTTTCCGCAGTCACACCCCACCTGTGGAATGATCTACCACCAGAAATTTATCCAGCGCCCCCCTTGATGAATTTAAAAAACTTCTTGAAACATTTTTATTCTGGCAGGCTTACCAGAATCAGCCAGTTTAAGATCTTGTGAGATTATCAGCCTTTTACTCTGTATTCATTGCTAACTGCTTGGTCTATTTTAAAATCTTTTTAATTGTTAATTCTTAATTGTGATTGTTTATATGCTTCTTATTTAATTTAGGTTAGTTTAATCTGGAGCACTTCGTTATATTATGTTTAAGTCTTATTGTGCTTTGAACCACTCAGAACTCAGAATGACCACAGGTCAGATGAGCAGCCAAATAAATAAATAAATAAATAAATAAGTAAGTAAGTAAGTAAGTAAGTAAGTAAGTAAGTAAGTAAGTAAGTAAGTAAGTAAGTAAGTAAGTAAGTAAGTAAGTAAGTAAGTAAGTAAG